ATATATCTTATTAATTGTGGTTTTGTGCTGTTTTAAAATAGACTCGAAGTGATTAATTCAATGTGTAAAATCAAGCAAGAAAAACCTAACAAGCTGAAACAAATTAATTTATAAGAATAATTAAATAGAAAGCTCCAACACTTTTAATTCGTTAAAATTAAACAAGAAAAACAATTTTTGTATCTGGAGAAGTAATCCAGAATAGTTCAGTTTAAGCAAACTTTTCAAAAAGAAGAAAAATTTACATGCCCAGTAACTTGGCAGTAATTCTGAAGGCTTATAACACTAAAAACTAGGTTTTGATACCAATGATGGTCATACCATTAGGTAGCTTTGTGCTTAATGAAACAAACGGGAAAACTTGTATATTAGTAGTTTTATAATGTCTTAAACATAATATGTCCATCATGCTGTAATGGTACGTGTTGTTTTTCACACTGTTTTATTTTTTATTTAATTCGTATCTGTAATTCTATATTGTTAAGTAAGTCAGTAAAATTGAAATGTGTTTGTATGGTGAAATTGCTTCTCGGGTATCCCCTGGTGGGACAGCAGTAAATCTTCGGATTTACAACACTAAAATCAGAAGTTCGATTCCCCTGGGTGGACACAGCGGATAGCCCGATGTGGCTTTGCTATACGAAAACAAATGCACACACGCTTCTTGGGATGAACTTTTATATTTTGCACATGTGCGTGTTTATTTGAAATTGATATGCTGTTAAATTTCATTTTATAAGAAAGCCAAAACAGTTCTATATGATAAACATGCTTGTTCTCAAAATAAATTGTGTGTTTAAAATTGAAGATAATTTTGATACTTCCAAGTGTCTGTGGTAGTTTGCCTAATACAGAAAGATGCTACTGTAAAAAAAACGCTTAAAGGATTGTTGTAAGCTTTCATTTTTACTGTGATATGTGACTAACTCATAGTTTATTCACAGTTGGTGATTGTTATGGCTCTAAAGCCTATTTTAGCCCACGAGTAATTGAAACTGGGTTTATTCAAATAATTTGAAACTTGTAAATATTTTTACTGAGTGTTTTTATCACTATGTGTGTGTGTGTGTGTGTGTGTGTGTGTTTATATATATATATATATGACTAAGGAGTTTATGAAATTTGAATGATACTACAGTTATCCATTACCTTTTTTTTATAGACCGAGCATCAAGATTACTGTGAAGTGTGCCAACAAGGGGGTGAAATCATTCTATGTGACACCTGTCCTCGAGCCTATCACTTGGTCTGTTTGGACCCAGAGCTTGAAGAGGCTCCTGAGGGGAAATGGAGTTGTCCACATTGTGTATGTATTAGTTGTTATCGTAGCTGTCATGTTAAGTGGCTAACCTTGACTCAACTCTGAACTTAGTGAATGAAGGGAAAAAAGGCCTACTGTTTTAGTACTAGAGTTTACTCAGCTATTAGTTGGCCTAGAAAGTATTAGATTTTGAACTTTTCATATGGGGAGTTTCTAAAGGAGTGGTTTACAAAAAAGAATCACATCTTGAACTTCTACTATTGAATATATTCACAGAACAAGAAAAGTGCATGATCTTATTTTATGGCTAGCTTTTTGTGCTTTAGTAAGAAAAACACGTTGAATTTTTTATTCTGTAAAAAATTCGAAGAAAAATGGAATGGTCGGTTTTAAAGGCATTTAAGAAAACAAAATGACAAAAAGCACTTGTATCTAAAGAACCTAATGCTTGTTCCAAAGAGCCTGCTTTTTTCTTTCTTTCGTCAGACATTGTAAAGTAGTATGTGAAACATATTACGTAGACTTAGTAATTAGTGTAACTAATGTTTCAGTGTTGCAGTTGTGGCAGGAACATTTTTTTTTTTATTTAGGAGGGAGAAGATGTCCAAGAGCAAGAAGACGATGAACACATGGAGTTCTGCCGGGTATGCAAAGATGGTGGAGAACTGTTGTGTTGTGATAGTTGCCCATCAGCTTATCACACTTTTTGCCTGAATCCCCCCTTGAAGAACATTCCTGATGGAGAATGGCATTGCCCTCGCTGTGCCGTAAGCCCCTAAATAACTTCTCTAATGTTGGCTCACCTGTATTGATATGTTAAAGAATCTCCTGTCTATTTTGACAAAAAAAAAAACATCATAGCCCTGCATTTTGAGGGATTTAGATGTTTCTGCCTTAAATCAGTTCTGGCTAACAAATGAAAAACCAAATGAATTTTGGTAAATTCTGTAGCTGCTTTACGTGTTCAATTTTCCTCCAGTGATTGAGTCAAGGTTTTGCCCAAAACATTCATGACAATCTTGTAAATTGGTAAACAGTGATCCAGTTTGTTGTTTTATCTGTTGGAGAAAAAAAAATTTGTGTTTTTTGCCTGACAATTTAATTATTAAAAATTGATCAATAGGACAAACATTTGAATATTAACAAATGTTTTGTCTTTTTGCAGTGCTGATTCTCCTCTCCAGTTTTTGTAGAAGAAGCGGGTTTTCTAGCTTATCTTTTATTGATACGTAGGATATGGTTATTCAAAATGACTTTTCTAAACCCTTTATCTTTTAATGCTTGTTCATAATATTTGTAAGTGACCACTCTTAAGATAAACACTAAATGAAATATTGGAATTTCCTCAATGCTTTAATGCTCTTGTGAATCTCATCGTTCCAGTCTTGTGAATTGTTCATGGAACATTAATGGATCGGCCCTCAGGTTTTTGAGCCAGAAAAATTCAAACAAAACAATTTTGCTATAAACAGATGTTATAATGTTGTTATTAAATATTTCATTGCACTAACCTCTTTACCCCAAAATTAAATTGTAGAACAGAGATGATGCTAAGTGTGTTTTAAAACCTAGTCATTGTTCTAGCCCTAATCCTATCATCTTATCAGCTTTTTTAGCAACCTGAACAATCTAGAAATATAATCAAATCTTAGCTAGTGAATGGAAACTAAACTACCAGAAGATGACTTGTATAACATGTAAAAAAAGAGTTTGGTATGGTTTTTCGCAATGCTGATTGAATGAGAGAATTAATTTTGTGTATATGCTCTTTCACGATCATTATTTTATACTTAAGAGATATATGAAATATATCAGGCTTGTTAATACTATAAGGAACATTGATAACAAAGCAAGATATAAAATTAAATTGGTAACAGATCAGGAAACATTAGTTTGTTTTCTGTTTTTCATAAAGTGAGATTAGATTTTATGGTTTTATGGTAGTGATGCGTTGAAATGTGCTAAACATTGTAATGATTGTGTGTTTCACTTCACTGTGCTATCAAAGATTCAGTTTTTTTCATATACATATATTAGCATCAAGTGAACTAAGCATTAAAAAGAATCTCTCAAGCTTGAAATCATTTTCTTTTCTCTTTTCATGCATTTTAATTTCCAGATGTTTTACTTTTTGATATTACCATAGTTGTTCATATTCATGTCATTCACATTACTTAGGTTTCTATTTTTAAATTTATTTCTGGAAATGAGTATTGTCATTCTTATAAAATGGTATGTGCTTTCTTCTTTTTATTGAAATATTTAAAATCTTAAGTAAATTTGACTTGATTTTATTACCAGGAAAGAAAAAAAAAATTGTTGAATCTATGTGATTTCTGAGGCTCGGAGTCCTTGTTTGTTGATAGATATTCTTCATTTAAGGACTCGTATATAAGAAATTTTTAAATGAAATAATCATTAATTTTTGTACTGAGAAAGTACTGTTTTCCATGTTGAACATAATTTCTTCTTGATCTTAAAGGCAGAACCATTAAAAGGAAAGGTCAATAAAATCCTGACTTGGCGATGGGCTGAAACTTCCAAGCCCGAAAGTGAAGAGAGTAAAAAGGAGGAAGGAGAAAAAGATGACATTCCTGCAACCCAACCCTCCACCAGCAAGAAGAATCGCCAAAAACCAATGCGTGAATTTTTTGTAAAGTGGGCTGATAAGTCTTACTGGCATTGTTCTTGGGTGTCAGAACTACAGGTATGTACTGGGATTACTACTGAAACTGTGGACATAAATTATAATTAGAGATGAGATGTAGTTTTTATTTTTAGCTCTTGCACTGAAGTATTCATTTAAACTTCACGTGGTGCAGAATAGTAAATAGTCTATTGTGAAACACTGCAGAAAAAAAAATCTTACATTAATATCACAAAATTTTATATTGTATCACAGCATGAGTCTTTATCCCTTTTTGGACCAGAGGGGTATCATTGATATCCCCGATACACATGAAAAACAAGAAATAAAGTATTTCCCTGGGGCCACCCAGTGGCACAGTGGTATGTCTGCGGACTTACAACGTTAGAATCCGGGTTTCGATACCCGTGGTGGGCAGAGCACAGATAGCCCATTGTATAGCTTTGTGCTTAATTAGAAACAAACAAATTTACCTGGGTCATCATTTTTTTGCTGTCAATGACACTTAACTTTACTTTTTTATACTAATGGTACTACTGCACTGAATGATTTTTTAATTTAATTAAATAATGCACCAAAGAGCACAGAATAATATCATACAAAAAGCAGACAATGTCTTATAACTACACAGTTTTTCTGGCTTTCTAACTATACAACAAGAGCTGTTAAAAGTTCATCTAAACTCATTGATGTGTTTCCCTTGAGAATAAAACTTGAACTGAAAACAAAATAGACAAATCTCTGTATAGAAAACAATGTAATATAATACGTCATTTGATAGATTAAAATGTGGCTTCCTATTGGTTATAAATAATATAGTATTAAACATCAGAAAAACTATTGTAAATTTCTGAAAGAGAAAATGTGATAGGTGGTCATGCAAGTGTGGTCTGATTTTTTTATTTGATTGGCTCTGTAAACAAATAAGATTGAAGGCTATGAAAATTATGCTTTGCCTGAACAATGACGATATTATAATGAACAATTTACATTAAATTTGGTACTTCTTGGAGGAGTGGTAAATAAGAGAAAGGTGATTGCCTAGAGAAAATGTCAGTTCTCCTACTAGGGGAAATTCAGGATTTTTTTTTAAATAATGCCTTATAAAACTGATATGTATTTAAAATTGGGATCATTAGCTACATTTTTAGGCTAAATGTATTCATATAGTATGATAAGAAAGTAGTATAATTAAATTATGAATGTAACTCACTAAAACCTCTTGACCAGCACAGAAAAAGATGCCTGTGGCAAGAGGGTTAAGTGTTGTAAACTTTGTTTTATAATCCTTTATTCACCTCTGTTGAAACCACAGGCATCTAACATGTCAACAAACCACAAATTATTGCTAAAGCTAAAAAAAGCTAAGTTAGAAAGTTTTATATCCAACTGTTTTTAGCTGAGCATCATTGTTAATTGTTCAGACCACATGCTATAACATCATAAAAGGCCGGCAATGCAGGGCTTTAGGATTAAAATCATCAACAGAGAAAGAAAATGACTTGAAAGACAGGACATTGACTATTATAGTAACAAAGTGATAGTGTCTGATAGCCATTATAAACTTGTACTTTGGAATGAGCAGAAAAATTGTAAAGAAAATTTAACATTTTTCTTGGAGTCTTTTGGATCTGTATATAAAATAAAATTGTAAAATTGTTTTTATATTTCTTTGTGAATTTCACAAAAACAAATGTCACATAATTCTAAAATATTTTTAGCAAGAAAATATTAAAAGAGAATTGTAATTTTTATTCAAATTTTGAAATGTGAGATACGAGTGTGCACTTGGTACGTGAAAGGCACACGCTGTTCATGACAAGGGTAAGACATTGTCAAATCTTTTGAACTTCAAGTTGCAAATGATTGTTTCAAGCCATGTGAAAGAAAAGTTTTAAAGTTACTTTAATAAAATGTGCTGTCTAATTTTGTAGGTGTAAGTTTTAAAGCATTGTTTCAAGAGGAGTTATTATGATCCAGGTTTACCCAGACACCAAAATTTTTTTTATTTACCTTTTGATTCTGAGCACCTTAAAACTACAAGCTATAATCTATAATTCATAAAAGAGAAACTTTTTTTTTTAAATCAAAATGTTTCCCTTTAAAATTCATTGATTGATTATAGATAATAGATTATAGATTATATTTTGAAATGTTTGCAACATGTAGAGATTACTTTTGATACAAAATTTAGAAAAAAAATTATTTAGTTGTTATACTTGGAAAAATTTTGCTATTTGGTAACAGACTTAGTTTTCAACAAAATCCTGAGGATTCAGTGTTCATATCACATTGCTACAATAACAAGCTTTACCCTTATGTGCACTATAACCGAAACCATATAATATCACTGTTAGTGGCGGGTACTGTTAACTAGCTGCCTTTCCTGTAGTGTATAAGTACAAAATTAGGACAGCTACTTGCAGATCATCCTCGTGTAGCTATACATAAACATTCTAAAACAATATAATTCCTAAAGTGGTAGATTTCACTATGAATTTTCATTGTCTCTTTTCCAGGTTTCCACAGTCACTTTCAAAATTAAATGTCTTTAGAAACCGAGTCAGTCATTAGAATAGTAGTAAACTACTTGATACATGTTTCGGGTTAAACTGCTTGTCCCATTAGTTAGTGATAACATTGTATTGAGTTTAAAATACTGGTAAGTACCTTGTTGACTGTTGATGACAAAACCTTGTCAAAACGTTGTACACTTGCTGTTATGTTAAAATTATATTAAAGTTTTTCTTCATTACCTATTCAAGCCATCTCCAAGCATTAGTATCAAGTGTAAAATACTAGTAAATATAAGGTTGACTGTTTGAACCATTAACTTAGATTGTTTAGTTAGTGATACACTGTATCAAGTGTAAAATACTGGTAAGTATATTGTTGACTGTTTGAACCATTAACTCAGTTTGTTTAGTTAGTGATACATTGTATCAAGTGTAAAATACTGGTAAGTATATTGTTGACTGTTTGAACCATTAACTTAGTTTGTTTAGTCAGTGATACATTGTATCAAGTGTAAAATACTGGTAAGTATATTGTTGACTGTTTGAACCATTAACTCAGTTTGTTTAGTTAGTGATACATTGTATCAAGTGTAAAATACTGGTAAGTATATTGTTGACTGTTTGAACCATTAACTAAGTTTGTTTTGCTAATTAGTTTTGAATATGTACTTGCTTTGCAGAAAATGTTTAGCAACTTAGTTCGAGCAGTTGTAGTTATACTTAAAAAAGGAGAATACGTTAGACCAGTAAAACTCTAAGCATAGAACTATATTTGAACATTAAGCTTCTACTTTGAGGGAGAATGTTTTTCATGGTATATAGCCATTTCAGTATTTATCCATTAGAATTAACTAGAGTTCAAGGAAGGAAGATGGGCAGAGTATTACCTTTTTTATTGACTGTAGGGTTTTTTATGAATTCTTGTCAGTTTTTTTTTATGTGCCTGTCTTCCTCGTGTTAAAAACCAGCTGATATTCAGCAAAGTGTGTTTTTAGCTATGTTCTAACATGGATCTGGTGCACTTTGTCTCTGTTGTCCTTTCAAAAGCTCAGTCAGTTGGTGACATCTGGGTGTAAGCTTGTGAACTAACTTCTCAAAATGGTACAATTGATTATCTACATGGGTATACCTGGATTCTGATTGGGCTATTTCGAGATATTGGAACACATTTTTCAAAATTTGCTATGGATTGTATGGGTATGTTCATTATTCCACTGGAACAAAGCATTTTTGTCTTCCGTTGGGACAGCAGTAAGTTTATGGACTTACAACACTAAAATCTGGGGTTTGATTCCCTGTGGAGGACACAGCAGATAGCCCAGTGTAGTTTTGCTCTTAAAGGATTTTGCTGCTAACCAAGAACTTCACCATTGTTTCTGGAACATTCTCATCTAAGACTTGATATTCATAGATATTTAAACATGTATAAGTTTCACTGTTTGATCCTAGACCCACACCATGCAATCCCCACCAAAGTCTTTAACAATTTCTGCAATGCAGTCGCTTGTTTGTCTTCATTCATCCAGATTCAATTTCTGCCACTTTGTAAATATTAATGTGAAGTGCCTGTTATCAGTTCACAGAAATTGTGATAACTTGTCAAAATTGCATTGCCAAACAAAAGAGTACCAAACATAATATGACTTACATACTTCATTCTGTTCATGGAGAGCATGTTATGTCCATTCACATGTGACTACAGTTAATTTCTTGTGCAGGTGAATTCTGACACTATCATAATCTTAACAGTTAGAAGACTTGGTACATTATTAAGTTTCTAAAAGCATTCTATAGTCTTAACCTTGATCAAGGATTGCCACTATTTTTATGATTTACTGTATTTTTCGGTGTATAAGACACACTTTTTTTACCCCAAAATTTTATGTCAAATCAAGTGCCTTGATTTTTACTCAGTGTGTTCACTTGTATGTTGTGTGTACCAGGTTGTTTCTGCTATCACTTACTATGCATATACAGAATTAATATTTTTCCTTGAACATTTGTTTGGTTTTAGAAAGCTTTCTAATAAAAATGGCGACTACATGCTTGAATAATGAGTGAAAAAAAAAGCTATAGTCCTTACATTTTCTACTAAGCTGTCTTCTCTTGGGTAATAGTTTTACAAATAACATGATTGGTAGTTTCCATTGGTTAACATAAAAAATGTTTTATTTTTTATTTTTAAACTATTTACAATGAGTAGTTAGTTTAGTATATTAAATTCTTGAAATAGGGGGTTTGTCAAACACCTATTTCTGTACTTTTCTAGAATGCTCTGAAGTTCAAAAAGTAATACATTTAAATTGTTCTGTAAAAATCTGAAAGGATGAGCGTGATTAAGTAAGTCTGTTTGTAGAGTAAACATTATAGCTTGTTATTAGAAGTTAACGATGTGACTGAACATTTAGATCAATATACACAGAAAGTGATTAAGTTTTAATTTATTCTTAAAATTTTTAGTCTTTGTTGGAAATAAATGTGATAATTTCATGCATTTGCAAAAGTATTCCAGTTTAATAATAAAAAAAATAATAATAATATTTTTTTTTTATGTGTTATGCATAGCTGGAGGTTTACCATCCATTTTTATACCGGATGTATTGTCGTAAAAATGACATGGATGAACCACCACCTCTGGATGATGGGAGTAGTGTCGATAACTACAAGAAAAGAGAAACACCTCGAGATGATCCACATAACCTCGAAGAAAGGTTTTATCGTTATGGAATCCAACCAGAATGGTTACAGATCCATAGAGTGATCAATCACAAGTAAGTAAAGAAGAAATAAAATAAGCAGGCTTTTTAAACATTGTGTTTTAGTAACAGAAGGATAAGATGCTTTTAAACTTTTCTTTATCATTTCTTATATTAAGGACTTTCAAAACAAATGAAAAGAATGTTGTTGTTTTAGTGTGAAGCCACGCAAAAGGCTGTATGTGCCACATCCACCATGTGGAGTAAAAATCTGGACTGACTTAACAACAGAAATTGATGTTTAAAATATTATGTCAGTACATTCTACTTAGTTTAAGATGGAATTAAAAGTAAAAAGAGGATTTAATTTATCACACACATACACGCTCAGATGGCTTGGTGCTAAGCTCGAGAGCTTATAATACTAAAATTCAGAGTTTGATCTCTTCATTGAACATAACGCACATAACTTATTGTGTAGTTTTGCGCTTAAAAACAAACAAACCGCTTATGTTCCAGAACACTGAAAGATAGCAGAACCATGTACCTCATCAAGTGGAGGGATCTACCATATGACCAGTCATCATGGGAATTTGGTGATAATGTTGGAGAGTTTGAAATTCCAGATTTGCAGAAAGCAATAGATGTCTACTGGGACCTCAGGTATGTGGAGAAAAAAGAAAGACAAATTGCATGTTTTAATTTTTTTTTTTCCCTTAAATAAATAATGAAAATTTGTTCGTCAGTTTAGTTTTACTGCCATTATATGAAAATGATGTTTGTGAATATTAGTATTGAATTTTTTTTTTTATAAGGATTTATTTGTACAGAATTTAATTTTTTAAAACTTGGGTAACAAATATATCCGAGATGGTAACCTTGGTTATGTTTTGCAGGAGTTCTGCAGAAGCAGGATATGTAAAGAAACCAAGCAAAGGAAAGGGCAAGAGCAAAAAGGCGAAGGACAAAGATCAGAAGCAGGAAGAGAGGGAAGATCCGGTACAAACCCAGGAGAAACCTACAGTTGATGTAAGTTAATGTTAATCTAAACTATTGGCTAGTGAAAGTTTATTTTGACTATTTTTTTTGCTAATAATTCACCACATTTTCTCATTTCAAATCAGAAATATATTTTTATTATTTGTGTATAATAACCTAAAGCGTAATGTCTAAAAATTAATTTCAAGCATCCTTCTCTTGCACTATTGAATAGAAATACAATTTTGTTTTCGACATCACCTGCTGAATGAAGTACTTGTACAACACCTTAGGATAACATGCAGTGGGGAAAATAATATTCCAAGTTTGTTTTGAATAAGATAAAATCTGCTATCTTTAGAAGTGATATTTGAAAGCTGTTTCTGGCAAGTGATATGGTAGAGTATTTAATTTTAATGTGATCCATATTCAAGGTGTAAATATTAGAAATTTGAGAAGAGGACTATAAACTTGAGTTGTTCAGTTGTTCAAGATCATTTAAAATGAAATGTGCAGTAGAATAACAAAGAAGAAAAACTTTATCAACATTTAGAAATATTCAAGTCCATTTGAGAAAATTATAATTCTTTAAAATATACTTCAGAGTTGTGAACTTTTACGGAAGAGTATCCATGTTTTATAATTTTTTTTGTTTGTTTATAGCCAAGAAAGAAGTACGAAAAGCAACCAGATTATATCGATGCTACAGGTGGTGAGCTCCATCCTTACCAGCTGGAAGGTGTGAACTGGCTGAGATTTTCTTGGGCTAATAAAACGGACATCATTCTTGCTGATGAAATGGGTTTAGGAAAAACTATTCAGACAATTGTGTTTCTCTATTCCCTCTTTAAAGAGGTAAGGTTAGGTTACACTGACTTTGTTGGCTTTCAGAGACTAGCAAAAACAGTTGTATTTGCCATCTTTATAGTATTACAGTATGCTAAATTCTACTACCCAAACTCTTTTTTTATAAATGAGAATTTGACCTCATCTCAACAGAACATCAAACAGCCGAGACAAATAAGTAGTAACAGTTTTATCTTTCACGGTAATTATTTTGATGGGGCCATATATTTATTTCTCATTTTAATAGCAATACATTAAATACGAGTCCTGGCAAATACAGCTTAATCTACATATTGATGATGTTAAAGACATAATCAACACATATCTCATTCTTTACAAAATAAATTTTAACAAGGTTGTTTAAAGACGAGTTAATCATGATTGTGGCTATGAGCAGATGAAAACAGAAACAAATCAAAGCTATGGTTCAGTTAGAAACAGTAGTGATTTTTGTTACACAAGTATTGCTTCTGTTATAATGTTTGAAAAGATGTAAAAGTAATTTACTGTAGAAATCATCGATTACCAGCACAGGTACATTACGTACCAATAGTTTGTATATTAGATCACATTTACATATGAGCACATTTGAATCTAATGCCTTAAAAAATTGCTTATTAGATTATTTTTTTCTTAGAACAATAAATATAGAGAGATGTACTTAATTCATGTGGACCATATACGTCTGTTTTTGTTTCTTCATAATATGAGGGTTAAGCAACAGGAGGGATATTTTTTTTATAAAAAAAATAAATAAATAACTATACGAGTTATTTATACTTTGATATTTGTAATTGTTCATGAAGCATGAATTTATATATGTCTTTCTATTTTCCTAGGGTCACTGTCGAGGTCCATTCTTAATCAGTGCCCCGCTTTCGACTATAATCAACTGGGAGAGGGAATTTGAGATGTGGGCTCCAGACATGTATGTAGTGACGTATATCGGTGACAAAGACAGCAGATCAGTAATTCGAGAGCACGAGTTATCTTTTGAAGAAGGAGCAATTAGAATTGGACCAAAGGCATCTAAACTTAGGGTGTGTGTGTATTTCTTTGGGATCATATTTATCAGGTTGTTTTGAGATAAATAAATATAGTTACATACTACTAAATAATAAAATGTGTAAATTATAATGAAAATGTTTAGTAAAAAAAAATATATATATACAAGTAAGGTTAAGTTCTTTTGTTTAACTTTATTTTTCTGAGGAAACTAAAATTCTCTTAGAAACTTATTGTGTTATATCTCCTTAGCATGTGTTCTTGAAGTGTTGTGGGTATGTTATCAGTAATGTTCTTTTTATTTCCATTTATAGAAAGATTATCCTGTAAAATTTAATGTCTTGTTAACATCATATGAGCTAATCAGCATAGATGCAGCAACATTAGGTTCTGTAGACTGGCAAGTATTGGTTGTTGATGAAGCTCATCGACTGAAGAACAACCAGTCAAAAGTGAGTTTTTTCAAGATGTTCTTCCATTCATTTCTTTCAGTATGTAATTCTCTACGTTAATGTTGTGTATTGTTATTTAATAATTAAAGACTTGATCGAATAAGTTATCAATTTGAGACTATGTTTCAAATGTTTTCTCATGAATTTGTTTAGATACAAAAATTAGATGAAAAAGTTGCCCTTTCATAATTAGAATCAAAATTTTCTTCATTTTTTTTATTATAACTCTAATTATTATATATTTATCATAACTTCATGTTTCAGTTTTTCCGCATCTTGAACTCCTACAAGATAAACCACAAATTGCTGTTAACGGGAACTCCATTGCAGAATAACTTGGAGGAATTGTTTCATTTGTTGAACTTCATGAGTCCACACAGATTTAAGTGAGTTAATTTTTATTTTAAGTCTTCCGACATACTTTTTGTTTAGGGTTTAGTTTTTGAAAAATATCTTCAAAGCTAAGGTTTTCATGTTAAAATCATTTTATGATTGTTTTTGTTAAATATCATACAGCCCTTTTGGCTGATGTGTTTAGAAATTTAAAGGTATCTTTTTGCACAGAATAAATAACAAAATATATATATGTGTGATATTTTAGGTAGTTTCTAAGTATTTTGTTACTGCTGTATTTAAAGCATATCACTAATGTAATCCATATTATACTTTTAAATGTAGTCAATTTTAGTATATTGAACAGGATAGGTTTCTTGTAACCTTCGTGTGATGTGTATAAGTATTTAATACCCAGATATTTTCTTTATAGTTTTTCAAACTTAGTTTAATATCCATTTAAGCTTATTTGTGGCCTTAATCTACATCGTATATAAGTTTAAAAAATTTCTGTTGTAATTCCTTGTCAGTGATCTTCAAGGCTTCTTGAACGAGTTTGCAGACATAGCGAAAGAGGAGCAGGTGAAGAAACTGCATGATCTTCTTGGTCCTCATCTCCTTAGGAGACTAAAAGCTGATGTGTTGAAGGTACACCTCATATCAGTAAACTCCAAGCAACCAGCTAACTACTCCTTTATATCTTAGTACAGCAGTTTTAAGACAGAAATGAAACAATTTTGTTTGGTTACTTTAAATTATGTTCGTTACGAATTCTTTTGAGTATGCAGTTACTGTTTCTTAACAAAAGTTTTGGTTGTAGCTTTTATTTGTTTTAAATTTGTAATGTGCATATTTAGAAAAACATCGACTTTGTGATTGTTTATAGTAACGGCCATTATAGGTAGATAGATTTTCTGTTGATAAGTATTTTACTGCTAAGAAATGGGTAATTAATTGAAGATACCTGTTACTTAAAATGTCTGTACTTTGAAGGTGGCTGCTTATATTAACCTTTCCAACCAAGTGATACAAAAGTGCTTTTTTATTGCATAATTCTGTGAAACCCAAATATCTTTTAGCTTTATTTGCTATACAGAAACATTATAATTGGTGCCAAGTTTTTAGTTTTGTGAAGCTATTTCGTGATCATGATAAAATAAACACTTGTACAAGTATGTGCATTTTGCTACATTGTGTGATTGTGCTACTATTCATGGTTAGTCTTAATGGTAGCTGCCCTAGAGCTAACAGTCCACAGGTTTGTGGAATGGTGTTAATGTATATGAAACAAAAACTACTAATCCATCTGGTGGAAAGGATGAGAACATCAATTGTGAATTTTTATATGTATTTTTAAAACTATTTCTTGTAAATAATAATAATTTAATGTTTCTTAAAAGTTGTCATTTTGATGATATAGGAGACTGTTGTAAACTTGACATTGATAGGCTTTCTTTTAGCTATGAATATAACACTTTTACTTTGTTTTTGTATAAACTATTGTATTGGATATATTTATTCAAGGAAAAAAAAAAGTTCTGTTGCCTAAAGGAAAAATTTTTTTAATTCTTTTTTTTTTCCAGAATGTACCAGCCAAAAGTGAATTTATTGTGAGGGTTGAACTTTCACCAATGCAGAAGTAAGTGCCATGCTCTGGGAGTAGAAAAAAAATATTAAAACAGATACCTAGAACAAAACTTCAGTAAATTCTCTTTAGAATAGTAATTATGTACTAACTTAGAACATAAATTTCTTTTTTTATATAATAAAAAACTTTAAAATATATTAAATCTACAGTAATGACAGATTATAAATAGAAATAATTCCAGGTTTTTTAAAGAATGGTGTTTTATACTTCAGAGATTGGATGTTCACAAAGAAAATAAATAAAAGACTTGTGTGCTTAATCTATTTCACATCAGACAGGAAAACTAGGATGACAGTGTCCTTTAAATGTTAGAAATTTTGAGCTTTGTCTTCTGCCCAATAATAAGAGTCATAGATATGAATACCACTCTTTCTAATTTGCCTTCTGACCAATAAGAAGTCATAGATTTGAATACTAATTAATTACTTTAGAACACTTTTATAATTAGAGAAGAATGTATTCTAATATTCTGTTATAGCGTTATTTCTGTATACACATTTGTGCAGAAGAGCTAATTTTGTTTCAATTGTAATGTTATTGAATTTGTAGGTCGCGAGAATGGAAACATTAGAATACAGTACTATATAGCTCTTGAACTCTTAAATTTCTAATGAGTTTAAATGTTTGTTTTTAATTAGGAAATATTACAAGTATATTCTGACTCGAAATTTTGAAGCCCTGAATTCTAAAGGAGGTGGCCACCAAGTGTCTCTCCTTAATATTATGATGGACTTGAAAAAATGCTGCAATCATCCTTATTTGTTTCCTGCTGCAGCCATGGTTAGTAGACTTTTTTAGTTATGATTAACATTGGATTTAATCAAAATAATTTAAAACCATGAGTTTACAATCCGTATCTCTGAGTCATGTGAGAAATGATGGTCAACAGAGGTTTGTTACATTATAATCAATAACAATAAAATATTCTCTGTATATCTCTCTCATAAAATGGCACATTTGATAACATGACAGTGAAGGCTACTTTTGTCCAGCTATGATTAAAATTGATTTTCTGGTAGGTGCTAAACTTTAGTTTTCTTTTGAAATTTTGATATAGATAGTGTAAAGTATTTTAATTAATACTTTCTGAATAATAAAAGTAAAACTGGTAATCTGAAAGTTTTCTGGAAATTAATAATCAATTAATAATTAATCTGGTAATTATATAGTTTATCTTAAATATTTTAAAGATAGTAAAATAAATTTGTACTAGACAAAGTAATGGTTAAAACTACGGTTGTTGTCAATAGTCGATGTATTGAATCATTTTGTGTAATTTGTTCGTTTTTCCTGTTACAACACTCAAGAAATGGCAAAAAAACTGTGAATGAAAACACTCATTTTCTGTGTAAAATGTATAGAGTACTCCAGCAAAGCGAGATTAATTGTAATATTAAAAGTATTTTTGTTTACACTTTTTGTATGACTTATGGTGATGGAGTGGCTTAATTGGTAATTATAGGATTAAATGAATGTGAAACCAAATTATGGTTGTTGTTGTTGTCTCCTGATTTTTAAAACTATAGAGCAGAAATTTAGTAAAAAAAAACTGTTTGAACCTTGTATACTTGCAAAACATTTGAGGTGGGATAAAAAAAATACTAAATTGGAAAAAGTTACATTTCAAGAAACCAAAATAAAGTAGACTAGTTATTAGTTGTAATAGATTATTTTTTTATGTGTTGAATTTAGTATTAGAAATATTTGTAGTTATTTGTCTCTTTGAAGCATTTCTCAGAAAACTGGGCACTTATTTTAAAATTTTCAATTTTGATAAAATTTAATGTATTTATAGCTTGGTAAGGTTAATAAAAAGGTTTTCATGAACTATATATCCGTACTTGCGTGAAATATGCACCCTTATTTGCGTGAAGTATGCACCCTTATTTGCGTGAAGTATGCACCCTTATTTGCGTGAAATATGCACCCTTATTTGCGTGAAGTATGCACCCTTATTTGCGTGAAGTATGCACCCTTATTTGCGTGAAGTAGGCACCCTTATTTGCGTGAAGTATGCACCCTTATTTGCGTGAAGTATGCACCCTTATTTGTACATTTCAAAGATTGGACATGAAAACAAGTTATTACTATATCACTGAACCTGTAATAGTGTTTGTGGTTGTTACCAAATTATTGTTATCATTAAGACATAAAAACTGGATAATGTGTTTAATCTGAAATATACATCATATTTACACATCTATAACTCGTGTTTTTCAATCTTAAACATGCATCATATTTACACATTTATAACTCGTTTTTTTTTAAATCTTAAATATACATCATATTTACACATCTATAACTCGTGTTTTTTTTAATCTTAAATATGCATCATATTTACACATCTATAGCTCGTGTTTTTCCAATCTTAAATATACATCATATTTACACATTTATAACTCGTGTTTTTTTTAATCTTAGATATACATCATATTTACACATTTATAACTCGTGTTTTTTGCAGGAAGCACCTAAGTTACCCAATGGTGCTTATGAAGGTAACTCATTGACAAAAGCCTGTGGAAAGTTTATTGTGTTGGCCAAGATGATGAGACAACTAAGAGAAACTGGCCACAGAGTACTCATCTTCTCACAGGTAACTAATGATTAAACTTTACATCTTTTTTTACTTGATTTAAGTCAATTGTTTTAGCCCATGTTTCTGTTTTTTGTTTTGAGTGTGAATTTGTTGTACTTGTGATCTGGGTGGTTTGTGTTATTTACTCATTGCTCTATATGAACTTTTGTAGAAAAAGTTTTATCTTTTATAATTTATTATGACATGAATGGAATTGCCTGATTGTACTTTTGATTATTTACAGATTTTTGTTCAACATCTTGTTATGTTTCATTGATGACAATTTAATTGACAAAAATTAGCATCATGTTTGATGTTTGTTAACTATTGTCACCTAAATATTCCATATGGTTCTCTTCTTGATATCTTCTAACTATCGTTTTTTTTTTCTCATTTACATGATATATTTATTCACAGGTTTTTACTTTACTCAGTATATTGTACATAGCTAAAAGAATAAATTGTCCTGTAACAGATAATGTGTAAAATCGGGGATTTACTTCAGAAACCTCTGAATATTCACAATAACTTATTATCTGACAATAAACTTTAATATTCCATGTGTTTGTTCTGATGCTATAATTTAATAGGCTTTAAACTGTACCATTGAAAGTGTTTTACATATAAGTTGTAAAGATACAAGTTATAGAAGTAAAAATCAAACTCGGTCATTATGAATAGATCTTGGTTGGTTTAATTCTTAATGTTTGTGAATGAGTGACTTCATTTTTCTCCCAAAGTAGTAGAATGAAATTTTTCTGAGTTACAAGATATCAGTTACCGTAAGAATCTTGTTTGTGCTATTTTTGTTTAGTTTTTATTGTGAGCAAATATTTTGCCGGTAAAATATCGTGTATATTTTTTATACATTAAATTTTCATTGCTTTTTGGATCATAAGATATAATAATCTTTAATTAACAATAAAATTCTGTTTATAAAAAATACTTTTTTTTTTACCCCAGTTTGAAAAGATAGAACTGTAAAATATGTATTGTGAAATAATTTAAGGTATTTTAATGAATATTCAAAATCAGTGGCTTGTAAGAAAGTACACCCTAAAAAAGTATCCCTAATGCAGATATAACTTGTGAATAAAGATGTGTTTTATATTTATTTATTACAATGAAGTTTTTTTTTTTTACTCAGATGACAAAGATGTTGGACATTATGGAAGACTTTATTGAGTCCGAAGGTTACAAGTATGAAAGAATTGATGGGGGTATAACTGGCAACTTACGACAAGATGCAATTGATAGATTCAACGGTAAGTTTCATACACAATATTTCTCTGTATTCTAAAACACATCTCTTTGAATTATCTAACTTGTATGTTTGTAAGAGGAAGGTTTTTTTTGTAAATATAATTACAAATTAAATCCATAAGTAATTCTTAAACTTAGAAAGTTATATTATAATTTTTTTTTTATGAAAATGAAGAAACTTACCAGGATCACCACTAGTTGTGAGAGACTTTATGACTATAGTGTATAGTTACATAAATATTTTATGGTCCAAGAAGCTGTGTTATAGTTACATAAATAATTTATTATGGTCCAAGAAGCTGTGTTATAGTTACATAAATATTTTATTATGGTCCAAGAAGCTGTGTTATAATTACATAAATATTTTATTATGGTCCAAGAAGCTGTGTTATAGTTACATAAATATTTTATTATGGTCCAAGAAGCTGTGTTATAGTTACATAAATAATTTATTATGGTCCAAGAAGCTGTGTTATAGTTACATAAATAATTTATTATGGTCCAAGAAGCTGTGTTATAGTTACATAAATAATTTATTATGGTCCAAGAAGCTGTGTTATAGTTGCATAAATAATTTATTATGGTCCAAGAAGCTGTGTTATAGTTACATAAATAATTTATTATGGTCCAAGAAGCTGTGTTATAGTTACATAAATAATTTATTATGGTCCAAGAAGCTGTGTTATAG